ATTCGAGGTCCTCCGAGAAAATTTCAGTCCAAGGCAGGACCTTTACCCTTCTGCTGTCTTTCATAGGCCCGGACTATATCGGGAGTTGTCTCTAGAAGTTCAGATCTTGTAAACCAGCGGTCGTCTTCCGGTTCTTGATAACTAAAATGAACCTTGTACTGTTTTTGCGGACGACCCCTACCTCCGGTTCTGAAGACATCCTCAGCCACTATACCGTCTATGTCATTCCTTCCATCCATATCAGGTGGGATCATTGATCTACGGGATGGAAACTGATCACTTGTTTGACAAGGTAGCAACTTCGATGCGTGGAAAACTGGATACGTGTGGAGGTGTGCTGGTAGTTCTATTGTATAGGACGGTCCATCTTCGCCGCCCTTGACTTCAAGAACAGGCCACGGTCCTCTATATGTGGGCAGTAACTTCTGCGAGATGTTCTCCTCAGGTGCAAACTCTTTCGAACTAACCCAGACTAAGTTGCCTACTTGAAACTGTGAAGGGCGACGATGTTTGTTTGCTTGTTCTATCATCCTATGTTGGGCTTTCTTGAGGTTTTCTACAACGATAGCTAGTTCTTTCTCGTGCTGTACAGCGAACTCCCGGGTCCCGGACGACAATCTCTGAATCTGATCCCGGTTGAGTCCCTCAAACGGTCTGCGCGGTCTAAAGGACTTGTGCAGTTCGTTGGGAGTGCGGCAGGTGGCTAGATGCACGCCGTTATTGTACGCACTAGCTACTTTAGGCAACATCTCATCCCAGTTAATCTGATCTGGCCTAATATACATGCGCAGAACTTGCCGTAGGATCTTGTTCATTTGCTTTGTCTGACCGTTAGTCTCTGGATGGCGGCCGGACGACATCAACAACTTAGATCCGTATACTCCCATGAGTTCTTGCCAGTTTTGGCTAGTAAAGCGACTATCTCTATCGCTAACTATAGATAGCGGGATTCCGTTCTCACTAATCCAACAGTCAAAGAACCTCTGTATGACTAAATCAGTACGCGCCTCAGAAGGCAAAGGAACAAAAACTGCGTACTTGCTAAAGCGGTCAACTATGACCATGACTTGGCTCTTGCCATGCCTGCTCTTGACTTGAGTGTCCATGAAATCTATTGACACTGAGTCTCCCGGCTGATCCGGAATGGGCAAGGGTCTGAGAAGACCTAGCGGGGCGCGCGTAGAACTCTTATTACGCTGGCAGACTTTGCAACTGCGAACATACTCTACACAGTCATTCTTCATCCCTGGCCAGGTATACGCGCGCATCAGATTGGCCAAAGTCTTTTGCCAACCGAAATGACCCTCTGTGTCGTGACATTCCCCCATAATCAGACTACGGATCTCTTCGCTTTTGGGGATGCACAAGCGGTCAAAGACATTAGTCTTCTCGAAGAGTAACCCTCCAGTAGTGCGATAGTTCGGCTCGGTCTCTGGGGCCCCCTTGACTTGCATGAGGAGCTCACTATAGATAGGGTCCTGCGCGTAGGCTTCTCTAACCTTCTTCTGCAGATCCTTTCCTATATCGAGGTAATGTACTATTGCCCCAAAGTAATCTGCTCTCCTACTCAGAGCATCCGCGACTACGTTGTACTTCCCTTTGATAGGCTTGAGCTCGAAGTCGTACTGATCTATCTCTGCGGCCCACCTAGTAAGCTTAGGTGTCATCTTGGCCTGGGTCTTTAACCACCGTAACGTTTCATGGTCCGAATAAACTTTGAAGTGCCTCCCAAGCAAGTAGTGCTTCCAGTGGTCTAATGCTTGCCTGAGAGCGTAGAGTTCCCTCTCATAGGTAGATGTCGCAACCTTCTCTGAAGGCATCCTAGCGAACATGAACTCTACGGGTCTATACCCATTGCCATCGTCTTGTTGTAATACTGCGCCTATGCTGTACTGGCTAGCATCCGTAGTAACAACAAAAGGCAAGGACGGATCGGCGACCTTAAGGACCGGATACTCTGTCAACGCCTGCTTTAGCTTCTTCATGGC